GTATTTCAGTGATTTTCCTTTTCTATAACAGATCAAGGGTGGCTCCTTGAATATATCTCTGAGTATTTGTATTTAAAAGTGCCATTTGTGTGTGATTATGCTTTCCAAAGTTTGTTATTGACGGTTGAGTGAAATTGCCCGACACAAAGGGTAGTGGTTCCTTCTGCAATTTTCGATTTCTGTTTTAGAGCTTCTTTTCTGTCTTTATATTTAACTTCTCGGAGGGTCTTTTCTACCATTTGCACTGGGTAGCTAGCCACTCGAGATCAGGCATGTATTGAAATTTTCAATATTCTCGTCAATGTATTTAACAATAAACCTCACGCAAGCAAAAAGGAGTTTATTGGTAAATTTTATCACTTATTTCACGGTTATTCAAACGGCAACTTACATTTTCCACGTATCAACATTGCCAAAATCCATTTGCGATAAAACAATGGCGAAAAAGCGTTGATTACTCCCCAAAACCATGTTTTTGGGCGTCAAAACAACTTCTCGCCATACATTTCCTTCTAGTGACTTGCAATGTTTGCCCCCTAACAATTCCAGAGTTCTTTGCGCAAACACGGGTATCTGATTACTGGCAACTCATTCATTGTAATAATAACTTCCCTAACTTTTACCACAAAGAAAGAATTACATTTATGCAGAATTGAAGACAACAAGAGTTGTCATTACTGCAGGGATGATGACTCTTTACTTCACTCCTTCTTAGGTTGTCATGTTGCGGTCGACTTTCTCTGGAAAGTGTTATGCTGGTTTAATGAAAAGGAAAACTCTTCCATCACATTAAACTCAAAAGAAATACTCTTTGGAGGAGCTATTGACAACGACACTAAAATGAAAAAACTAAATTTGTCTCCTCTATGCCAAATTCTACTTTCATTTCCAGAAAATCAACCAATGTGCATGTAATTGGGATGTTTTTGGGATTTTATGTTGAAAATAGAAGGTTTCGTTTAGTTCAATTTGTCCTCTACTTCTTGCAATCAAAAAAAAAAAACCGCGCAAAATTTTTATCTTCGCAATTACGTTAATTGAATATAATATATCCTGTAGAAATCAGTTGTAATTATATGGTATTATTGTTAGTACAGTAGTTAGCCGAAAGTGTTGTATGTAACGTTATGTTAATGTTGAAAAAAAAAACGTATTGTAGGTAAGTTTATTGTAAGTATTGTATTTAAGTAGTTTATTGTAATTAACAGGTTATAGGTATATTTATTGTAATAAAAATGTTGGAAAATAAAATTTAAAAAAAAAAAAAAAAACTTCCCAAAAATTGATTTTGATTGAACTTTCATTGATGACTTTAGATATAATATATTGTACTATACCTATTACGATCAAATGTGTACTATGCACGTATTGCATTTTATTGTATTAAATGTTTTTTTCCCTTGATCAGNTGGCTACTGTGTTGCTCAAAGCCTTTGTTTTGCTTTTACAAGCATGTATTTCAGTGATTTTCCTTTTCTATAACAGATCAAGGGTGGCTCCTTGAATATGTCTCTGAGTATTTGTATTTAAAAGTGCCATTTGTGCGTGATTATGCTTTCCAAAGTTTGGTATTGACGGTTGAGTGAAATTGCCTGACACAAAGGGTAGTGGTTCCTTCTGCAATTTTCGATTTCTGTTTTAGAGCTTCTTTTCTGTCTTTATATTTAACTTCTCGGAGGGTCTTTTCTACCATTTGCACTGGGTAGCCACTCGAGATCAGGCGTGTATTGAAATTTTCAATATTCTCGTCAATGTATTTAACAATAAACCTCGCGCAAGCAAAAAGGACTTTATCGGTAAATTTTATCACTTATTTCATGGTTATTCAAACGGCAACTTACATTTTCCACGTATCAACATTTCCAAAATCGATTTGCGATAAAACAATGGCAAAAAGCGTTGATTACTCCCCAAAACCATGTTTTGGGGCGTCAAAACAACTTCTCGCCATACATTTCCTTCTAGCGACTTGCAATGTTTGCCCCCTTGACAATTCCAGAGTTCTTTGCGCAAACACGGGTATCCGATTACTGGCAACTCATTCATTGTAATAATAACTTGCCAAAAATTGATTTTGATTGAACTTTCATTGATGACTTTAGGTATAATATATTGTACTATACCTATTACGATCAAATGTGTACTATGCACATATTGCATTTTATTGTATTAAATGTTTTTTTCCCTTGATCAGCTGTTATTAAGAATGCTGACTTGATGTTTAAGCAGAGTGTGTGGACATCTCTTATTGCTGCCAGTATTGCATCCAAACACTTGAAGGAGTATGTATTATTAGCTGCCATATTGAGCAATAAATCATGACCATCTGTGAACCTCTACACAATGGCCACTCTAGGCAGTGCATCTTTATTCAGTGGAAGGACTCAGTAAATAGAACTGTAGTCCTAATCAGAACTACAGGAACCAGCCAGGATAAACCAGAGTTTGCTTGCATGAGTTATTACTTAATAGACTGTTTTAATATATCCAAAGTAGCCTATTATGATAACCTTTATGTAACAAACACTCAAGGGTTACATGTAGTAATAAACAGGTAATGATATTTGATTTGTTTAGGCCTTTCATCATTCTCTTCTGTTGTATACTTCTAGGAATGGTTTGTTGAGTCTAACAGGTGCCCAGCCCTCCCTGGGTGGTACACCAGGTGAGCATATAAAAGCGTCATTTTCTGAAAGTGTCTCAACTACTTTTGTCACCCATTGTAGTTCAAGCAAAGGTGTCATGTTATGTACAAATCTGGTTCAAAAGCTATGTGGGTGTGGCTGGACTGTGGGACTTAACTCAAAGAGTTGCATCTGCCCTAGACATACATGTACATGTATGACACAGGTAATACAACACATGGACTTGAGATAACAATCAGGAAGACGTCATATTTAATAAAAGTTGTGATAAATGTTTAAAAACAATTCTTACTGGTTTAGCCTCCTATGCTGGAGCTGTTTGGAGAGGAGTGCGTGACAAGCTTTAACTCAGATAACTTGTTCAAGGAGGCTAAGCACTCGCTATCTTATGGAATGTGAAACTGACTGCACAGAGCTGCAGTCACAATGCACGCTTACAAACTTTATTTCAATTTCCAGAGAAAAGTTAACACAATCATGTGGACTGATCTGCAGGTAGCCTTCTTGCACTCTTGGTGGATGTGTTTATTATCAGGAAAAATTACATAATAACAAACAGAGAGACAAAGAAATTTACATTCCTTTCAAATTGGTGCTACAACATAAAAAGAATAACATTTAGGCATCAACAATTTTTAAAGTTACGTAGAGATATCCACATATCACCATGGGCAGTGTTAAACACTGGCCTCTAGAGTCACAAGGCTTACTTTCATTTTGTCTATTTATGGTTGAAATTATTTTAATTTCAGATTTTTCAATAGTCTTATTTTCAATGGTTTTGTTAATGACAGGAATGTTGGGTTATGGTATGGCCAAGGCTGCAGTTCACCAGTTAGTTAAAGGACTTGCAGCAGAGAATGGAGGTCTTCCAGCTGCTGCATCAGTTCTAGCCATTTTACCGTAAGTTGGAGTGATAATCCAGTCAATGATAAGACAACTGGAGTCTAACTGCATTGATTCACTTCAGATAACCACGCTTGATAATTTGGTGATTTTGTGCTTTGCTTATTTGTCAAGATTGTTGGTCACCAACAGTCTTTTCTGTGTAAGAGAAGAAAGGGATATATTTTATAAATCTGGACTTGTAGCTAGCATACTACAAAAGAAGGTACAAAAGTCAACAAGAGCTTGATGTACCCCTATTAGAGTTTTGGCATTTTAGCTGGGCAGAAATTGGGGTAATGGCAAGACGAAGGGGATGTTTTACTGTGATGTCAATTTTCACAAATC